TAGTGGTGGGATGGCAGGGTTAGGTTAACGGTTGGACTTGATGATCTTAAAGGTCTTTTCCAACCTAAACGATTCTATGATTCTGTGATTCTATGATTCCTTGAAAGACAAAAGGCAGGGTCCTCCTCTGGGCTAAAATAATCTTTCTTTGCAGGCTTAGTTTTCAAGCAAATCAGGTCCCTGCATGACCCATCATATGGTTGCCCAAGCTCCGGTGCCGCTGACATGGGACGGCATAGGAGGGAGGCCACGGCTGAGCAGCGAGCACAGAAATACGCTGTCGGTGCTACTGTGGCTTTGCACGGGATGAAAGTCCCCACGTAACCTCATCCACGGGAACCCCACTGGCCATTTACCAAGGTTCATCATGCAAGAGTTTTAAGAGCAATGACAGGAGCGTGGCTTGGAAGGAGATGAATGTACCAGCCTGAGACAGCAGATGTGAGCAAGAACATTTCACAACCTGATCGAGTTAAAGATGTCCCTGCTCACTGCAGGGGGGTTGGACTAGATGGCCTCTAAAGGTCCCTTCCAACCCAAAACATTCTATGATTCTATGATTTAGAACATCTCAGCTGAAAGGACCCAGAGAAGCTACAAGCGACCGAGGGTGCAACCCTGGCGTAGCACAGCCCGCAGCAGCCTCAGTCGTGGGGCTGTTTATTCACCCTGTCCCACAAATGCGAGGTGGTATTTAGGGGCGTTACTGTAAGTGACATAAAACACGGCGTTTTGTAAAGTAATTCAGTTCTCACGTGGTGCCAAATCTTGCAAAACATCGCGATCGAAATTCTGTATTTATACACAGACAGCGGCTGTGGCTCCGGCCCAGCAGACAGCGATGCATGTCCTCATCCCCCTGCCTGCTGCAGGTACCGGGGGCCCCCAAACTCCTCCAGGCTCTGCAATTCAGCACGTGCTCAACTGTTTTGGGGAGCTCAGGCCTGAAGATCCCCTTGTTGCTGACCCCAGGGGAACAGCGCTCCTGGGGGCACAGCCTGTGTCACCATGCGAGGTAGGGAGAGCCAGACGTAGAGCTGGGAAAATGTAAGTATGGAAGAATAAGCCTTAGGCCTTAAAGTGAGGAGGTTGGGGGTTTCTCTGTCTTCACATATGCACGCACACACAGGTACATGCAGAGCCATGACAGGTGGAAGTTTAGAAATTTGAGTTAGTAAAATTAAAAAGTTATGAAACCGGTTTATCTTACAAATTCTGCTTGACAAGAGCCAGTGTGGTGTGCCATCGCGTTTTGCTTCGTTTCCACCAGCGTCTAGGTACGTGCAGGTGACTGATTATATTCTCTGTGTTAATCTATTACCGAAGGAAAAGGCTGGACGGGTGCCCTGCCTCCAGCGGGGCCGGGGCAGCACAGCCTGCCGCCGCAATGTCCCCTCTGCTTTTTCCCCACTTCACTGCAGGGAGGAAACACCCACCCAGGTCTGACCGAGCGACTCATTTTGTGGCTCTGTGTGACCCTCGCTCCCAAAGACGAGCCCAGCCAATGTCCCCAGCGGCTTGTGATAACGACACCTGCTCGTCACGCGGAGAGCTTCAGGTGCCGTCACAGAACCAGCGTGACAGTGTTCCCCCAGGACAGAGTCACATCCAGCAATTCGGCAGGGAAAGTTGGTGGCCTACTTTGCTTTCTTCAGCCACTCCGTTTCTGGGATGATCCTTGTTTTAGCGCAAGCAGTATTTTGGCTAACCTCCTTTCTGGGAATGAGAATTTCCAATGTAAAAGGTTGCAGAGAGCACAATGCACATGGGATGGGAGGGAGAAAAATCTCCTTCTGTAAAGAAAAGGCTGTTGCTTAAGGACTGCGTTAATGCTTTAGTTAATAAATCAGGGCTGTCTGCTCTGTACTAAGCAACAAGTCTTCACACAGTGATGAGACAGCATGCGGGTATACAACAGAGAAATGAGGCAGAGCATTTCAAGCCTCAATAAATTATAACAAGTAAATTAGGCATACAATGTAAGAGAATGGTTTTTACCTTGCAGATTTGAAAGGAGAAACCGTGAACGTCGCTGGTTATGATGAGTGACTTGCTAAACCACCGTAACTTGAGTGCACCCAGTCACAACCTAGAGAGACCCTATCAAAACTGTTCAGGTGGATTATTTTTCTGTCAGAAGGTGCTAGGTTGTGAAAAATGGAGACATGATGATTTCAACAAGCTTTATATTCATGGGACAAAACATCAAAATGCAGACAGAAAAGTATTTGTTCTTTCCAGTATTTTTATTTTAAAATCTGGTTTGTTAAATTTTCATTGTATATATCACTTAGAATAATGATTGTGTTAATTTTATATTTAAAAATTTTGTTTGTTTGCAGCATAACACAGCTAAAAATAAAGCAAGGGCATATAACCTAAAGGCATCAAAATAGGGTCTTGGTAACTGAATGATTTTTTTCTTTTGCATTGTAAGAAGTTTCAGACCTTTAATTTTATTCTGCCTTTTAGTGACTTTTAATGATAGAATTTTCTGTAGGCTGACAATTCAGCTTCAAGCAGCTGTAGAGTGAGAGCTAACATTTTTCCTTTAAAGACCTGAGTCCAAATGGTTGTTTAAAGTGCGAGTAAAACGTAGTTTGGTGATGTTGCGGTAACGTCAGGTTACCATCTGTCACTTTCTTTCTGGGATCTGCTTGATGGATTCCTAGCAAATCACTTCCTGCAAGCATTATTTGCAAAAGTTTATTATGGGCAAAGGCTACTTACGTCTGCATTCGTGAGCCATCATTACCGGGGAACGTTTCATTACCAAGTGATGACATTCTGTAAAATACCCTGGTGCATGGGCAAATGCCAGCACCACTTCTTGACAGTGGGATGGCTGAGTGCATCTTACTCGGCAACCCCCAGCAGATGTCAACCTTAAAATATGTCATCGGCGCAATAGTAGCCCATGTACTGACATCCTTCAACACATTGGGTGCTCTGCTGACAAGAAGCCTATTCCATTGAAACCGCACGAAGGCTGATGGTTAAGAAAGAATTTCTCCAAAGATAAGTAGGCAGGTTGAGCAACGCCTTGGTCACTTTGCCTGGCCTGGGTTGCTCCTGCTGCTCCTCCCACGCTCAGCAGCAAGGCACAAAGTGCAGCTGGAGTGAGCCAGGGCACAAAGGCGTGAGGGTCAGGAGTCCGCAGCCTGCTCCCCGCTCTTGCCTTATGACCAGAACATATCCATTCACATTCCTGTCCCTTGCTTTCTCCTGTAAAATGGAAATCCCAATTTTTAAAAGCATTTTGAGTGTCTTCGCATGAAGCACAAGTGTGAAATGTCATTGCAATCAGGACAAATATATACTTTGTCAATGTGCCATAAACCAGTTAACTGTGGTGCTTATTTAGGTCCTGATCTTACAAAGATTTAAGCCCTCTTATGAATGTCAGTAGCCCCGTGGAAGACTAGATTACACATGCACTTAAGTGTTATCAGATTGAAGTCATAGAACAACAGTCACAAAAGGTACTTAATCACCTTTAAATTACAGTGTTCCTAATTTAGCTAATGTTATTCCCCAAGGAAAAATTGCCTCATCTAGCATACAATCAAAAAAGAATCAAGGGCTGTTCCTTCAAGTGGTTGACAGTTCAAAAAGAGATATGATTTAAAAAAAATAGGTTGCTAAAGGCTGAACTATTTAATTGAATTATCTCTTTAAGAAATTGATGCAAATTAATATTATAATGCTCCATTATATTGCCACAGAATCTTTCATCCTCGAGCCTTCATAAAATATATTAATAAACTTGAAAAAGAAATGCATACTTTTTTGGTTTTTTTAATGGAACCGGCATTCTGTCCCTGTTTGAGGCTTTCTAAGAATCATTTTTATTTTCAAGGTCCTCAAGGTGCTCACCAGGTACAATCCTGCTCTGTCCATAAAAGCAGATGAGCTCACTGTACAATGCCTAATTGGATGGAAAGGTTTGATAGCAGGCAACACAGCCAGAAAGATGACAAAAGGAATTGGTGAGAAGGGGAGCAAACCCAACAGAATCCATGTGAGCCAGCTG